GATTATAAACGACGCCGTCTCAAAAACACTCCACCAATACGTATGCTAGGGACCCCTGTCCCCTGGCATACGTCTGCCAAATATTTAGGTGTCACTCTAGACACAGGGCTAACTTTCAGGCCCCACGTCAAAAGAGTAACCCGTCACGCACGTTTTTACCTGAATAGGCTCAACAGTATGTTGGGCCGACACAGTAAAATGTCCCTCAGAAACAAGCGTACCCTTTATAAGGTCTGTATACGACCAGTCATGTCCTACGCGGGCCCCATTTTCGCCCACTCTAACCCTAAAATTATTAATGAACTCCAAGTAGTTCAAAACCTTTTCTGTCGTCGAGCTGCGAACGCACCTTGGTACGTCCGCAATGCCGACCTTCATCGGGACCTAGAGCTCCCTACAATTCAACAATTCCTTAAAAAACTCTCTGAGAACTTCTTCAAAGCCTCAGAGTCGCATTCCAATCATTTTATTCGTGAGGCTGCTAATTATGCAGCCCCACTCCCCTCCCGCTATAGCGTCCGCAGGCCGAGGAACTCCCTCTCGGACCCGCCTAATAAACTTTCAAACGACCTGAACTGCCTCCTGGCGGCTCAGGCCAACTCTAATTAAGTTATTCATAATTAATTTGCCTTCCCAGGCACTCCCTCAGCGGCTTATAGCCGCCTGCGCCCTCTTTTCCCAAAAGAGGGTCGCTTTACGATACGGCATGTGAAGCTTTCAACAGCTGGTTGCCAGTCCCCAAAGGCAGTTTTTAGAGGGTATCACTTAGGTTCCCCCTTGTAGGTAGTGAGTCCCTCATAACCACGATGGACCGGCCATCGTGGTATGCGTAATGCATTTTCTGCCTCCCTTCGGGGTAGCCCTTTTCCAATTGCTTCGGGCGCAAAAACAAAAAAAAAAAAAAAAAAAAAAAAAACGACGATTTCAGTATCCCGCGCGTTGAGAACGTATAGTCGTATAGTGAATATATTGTGTATTAGTTGAGTTAGTGTAACGTAACAATGGCACGTACTAAGCAGACCGCTCGGAAATCCACCGGTGGTAAAGCGCCGCGTAAACAACTGGCCACCAAAGCAGCCCGTAAGAGCGCACCAGCAACCGGCGGTGTTAAGAAACCACATCGCTACAGGCCCGGTACCGTCGCTCTCCGTGAGATTCGTCGCTACCAGAAGAGCACCGAGCTCCTCATCCGCAAATTGCCGTTCCAACGTTTGGTGCGTGAAATCGCTCAGGATTTCAAGACCGACCTCCGCTTCCAGAGCTCCGCCGTGATGGCCCTTCAAGAGGCTAGCGAAGCTTACCTAGTCGGGTTGTTCGAAGATACCAACTTATGCGCGATTCATGCAAAACGCGTAACCATTATGCCGAAAGACATACAGTTGGCGCGCAGAATTCGCGGTGAACGAGCTTAATAAACTCTACTCTACCGATTGTGTTGTGAACTACGTTTAATTTTTAACATCAATCATCGATTGGCAGTGTGAAAGTGGCAATATTAAATATGCCTCATTAACAACAACTACACGTTGACAAGATGATGATGATTGTGTTGGTTTTAACGTATGTTCTCTTTCACTTTCATAAAAGGCCCTTTTCAGGGCCGCATATGTTTCTACACAATAAACTGTGCGTTTCTTTAGAATATAAGAGAACGTTAAACGAGCAAGTAATAGATAGATAGATAGATAGATAGATAGATAGATGGTATGGTATGGTATGGTAATATTATGAGATAACAAAAACATAATATCGAATTAAGGCTCAGCAAATCGAAATGTTTATTTAGATACCGTTTAAATAAATTAATAGATAGATGTACTAATCTAGTATAATAAATAGACGACAAACTGTATACTATTTAACATCATAAGATACACAGTAGGGTAAAGCTTACCTGTCTCACGACGGATGATCATTCATCACCATCATCGACGATCGGCGCCGACGATGCCTGCGCCGCCGCTGCCCGCGAAGACTACCACCACCAATGTTCACGCGCAGAACGCTTCTGTTAGTTAGGATGCAGTTTTTTTTTTTTAAATAAATAAAAATCTTCGTCTTCATAATAATATAAATTATAATATCTTACTTTGGATAATCATATTAAATGAAGTGATACAAAATAGAAAACGACATGTTTCGACAATAATATTATCTGTACTTTATATACACCTCGTTCAACCCGCGACATTATTTCATGGCGGGCTTTGAGTATTAAAATTAATGGGGGATTGACTAATTTCTCTTTTTTTTTTTTTAATAGTATGCGGATTGACCTCAGGACTCATTGGATGGAGTCTAGCCATTGTCGCAGGACAAAATCGTATTACCTTATACGTAGTAACTAATTAGATACCTTTCTATATTCTAATATATAAATTTTATTTTTGTTTGTTCGTATATAATGCGCTACCATACCGTTCATCAGATTGCGCTAAAATTTAGTCAACTTATTGCTAACTAATAATCTTACAATAGATGGCGCGCGTATCGAACTGACAAATTTATTTATTTATTATTATATAGAGACTACCTCTTCCAAATTTTAAACGATATTTCGACAATTTTTTTTTTTTTTCCGTGTACCATCTACAGCAACACGAAACATCCACCCCCCTCCCCTCCCCCCGCCTTCGCCTTATTATTTGCCCGGCCATTTTATACTTCCCCGCACCCTCGCCTCAGCCGTCTCAGTCGTCTGGGTGACTTTATATAAACGGGAAAAAGTTGGTGCGGTCTATCTGTCGTCGTGCGTTCGTAACGTACGTTAAGTCTCTATATATATTATTTCGTGTGTTGTCTTTCTTCTCTAAGCGAAAATGACCGGTCGCGGTAAAGGTGGTAAAGGTTTGGGGAAAGGTGGAGCGAAGCGGCACAGAAAAGTTCTTCGTGATAACATCCAGGGTATCACCAAACCGGCTATCAGACGTCTCGCACGCAGGGGCGGTGTGAAACGTATCTCCGGGTTAATCTACGAAGAGACACGCGGTGTACTCAAGGTGTTCCTTGAGAACGTGATTCGTGACGCTGTTACATACACCGAGCATGCGAAGAGGAAAACCGTCACCGCAATGGATGTCGTGTACGCCCTGAAACGTCAAGGACGTACCCTCTACGGATTCGGTGGTTAATTTCTTATACGCTACGCGATGAAGACGTCGTCCACCGCCACGTACTACGGCTCTCTGTCCGCTCTAAGTTCGTCTATAGTACACCATGTGCGCAGTGTGTATTTGCTACTTGGTATGCGGGACTCTGAGAGTTAAGTTACGTGATGAGACGATTTTCCTAATCGTATAAGTTTAAAAAAAAAAAGGCCCTTTTCAGGGCCGCAAAACTATCGATATAACTTGTATTTGTTTCGTAGAGTATCGTCATTTAAAAAAAAAAAAAAAAGAAATGATATGTGCAAGCATGTATTTTGTTGTACGGATATGTGTATAAATGGCATGATTATGTAGTATATAATTGCGAATGTATGTGTGTTTATGATCATGTATGTAAGTGCATATTAGAATTAGATGTGTCTGTCTATAAAGTTATGTTAAGTATTTAAAGCTGTAAAGGCATCACATAAGATTTATGTATACCAATTAAACGCGGAACAAAATTAGGTTTATTTTTTTTAATTCGAAATAATTTCGAAAAACTGATCTGAATGAAAGAAACGTCAATTCATGTAGGCATTAAATGACTATACTCTTCTTAAATTTGACGATACCTATTAAACAACAAGTGTAAGATATCGCCATATTGAAATAATGGTTCGAACGTCTTAGGAATATATTATCATAATTCCGAATTGTATTTTTTTTTCTCTCTTATTTATCTCCCTTATTATTTAATATATACATTATAATATGATATACTATATTTTAATAATATCACACTTCATTTTTTTTTTTTTTTAAATACTTAACGCTTTATAAACATACGTTGCTCTGAAGCGTGCCCAGCTTTTGTACGTATTTTAAAGAAGTATGGGAACGTGTTGCAACATTCTAGAAATAATAATGATTTATAATAATTATTTCAGATTACAGTGGACAAATTTTAAAATATTATAGACTATTTTCAAAGATCGTACGCTTTGTATAGGGACTTCGGTCTGTGAGCCTCGAGACCTCTTCGTGTTTTACGACCTTCGACGTATAATAGGTCGTTGCATTACGAATAATGCATTACCGGCGTGACCTCTGCCTTCTGTCTAACCTCAGGATATTAACTTTCAATAGACCGATTTAAATTTAACTAAACTAATGAGCAAATAGAGAAAAATCATTTTAAAAGGCGGCTCATGGTACGCTCAGAATATAGTGAACAAAATAAACATCCATTGCTCGTTTCTCGATCGCTTATATACGTAACGGGTTTGTCTGTTACGTGCACAATCTCAAATATATACCGTATTAACTTTCTGAATACGATAATATTTATATATCACGGTAAAAATTAAATTTTATTCGAGACGTTCTAGTGAAAAGTTAGAAGTGTTCGTACGAGAAAACGTCTCGCAGCACCGCGGTTCTCCTTACGGTTAAGCTTTGGTTGGGGGGGTAAGGTGGCGATAGTGTCGCCACCCAGTTCGTTGCGGGCCGTGCTACAGTGCGGACGTGTCTAGTGCGCTCCTGTGTTGTGTACGTGTTGTGCTAGTGATTGACTCCGCCGACGTCGAGTTCGCTCCGTTTGGCGTCGAGGCGTCGCTGGCGCATCTCCTGCATCGAGCTGTTATCAAGGTAAGCGCAAAGGTCACAACCTACGCTGTGCCCTACTTTGCGTTTTTATCTTGTTTGTACACTGTACCCTCTTTTTATTATAAAAAGTGTTTGCAAGTGTTCCGCATTTTGTGAGATAACGCCCATCCCATCTGCGCCTCACACACCCCTCCCTGCTCGCGGGCGCCTCGCTGGGCCTCCCTCACGGGTCTCACCCGGTGTGGTTGCACGCGCTGAGGGGAGTAAGGTGTGTGATAGCCAAGGGCTGAGCACAAGTAATTTGTGATGTCGGACAAGGGGGAACCTCCCCCAACACGCCGAAAACCACCCGACAGGCGTCTGGGAGTTCTCGACAGGCCCCTCATGGAGCGAGACCTCTTCGCTCCTGAGAGGTCGCGAGTGCTCCCACCGTATAGCCAACTCCCGAGGCGTATTGGTAGTTCATCGGCCACTGGCACCGCGCTCGGCGCTGGTGAAGCTGTGTCTCCACCTAGCGTCGAACCGGCGCCACTACCACGCCGGAGCCAAGCCTCGCGGAGACGTACACCTCCTGAAATAGACAAAGACCAGCTCCAAGAGGAGAAAAGGCTGAGAGCCGGATCAGACTCACTATCTGATTCGGCATCGCCTCCTTCCTCGGTAACCCCACCCGAGAGACAAGCCCCACAACCTGTGGTAAGGCATAACATTCCGCCAAACTCACCGTCTCCAACCACCTCTCCGGCTTGCACCGCTGATATGCAGGATTTCGGCGAGGAAGACCCGGAAGGGGAGAGAGAGTGGGACAATACGTCCTACGCCACTCTAGCCCCAATGCAAGACTCCCAACCTGTAAACCAGGAGCCCATGCCTGGTCCATCTTCTGCGCCGGACTCTTATGCGCAAATTGCAGCAGCGCCGAGATCAGCGCCACCATCTCCTCCACCACCATCTGCACAAAAACAACAACAACCAGTAAATAACCAGGCCAAATACCCTCCTATTATAGTGGAGTGCTTCCCCAATTGGGCGAAGCACTTCAAAATTATCCACCAGCTTCTGGGACACGCCCCTAATGCTCGCCCGTTTGGGAAGGGAGTCCGTTTTCGGCCCCAGTCCGACGACGAGTATCGGAAGGTCCAAAAGTACCTTATTGAGAAAAGCAAGGAGGACGCCACCTTCGTGTGGTATTGCTACGCCCCACAAGAGGAGCAACCCACGAAGGTGGGGTTAAGAGGGCTCCCTGCCGACACTGATCCAAAGGACATACAGGAGGCCCTCATAGAGAAGGGCTTCCCTGTCACTTTTGTCCGATCCATACCACCCAAAAGAGGCAGGCCCGGATGCCTGTTTCACGTAAAGATGAACCACCTAAGCCCCGAGGAGCTCAACAGACTATATAAGATTGATGAGCTGCTCTACATGCCGGGGGTACAAATAGAAGGCTGGACAGGCAGAATTGGTCCTGCACAGTGTCACAGATGTCAAGGGTTCGGGCATGCATCGTACAATTGCTACCGACCCTTCAAATGTGTGCGCTGTGCAGGTGACCATCTCGCCTCAGCTTGCCCACAACCGCGGGATGCACAGCCCAAGTGCGCCAACTGCGGTAGGGATCACGCCGCAAATGATAGGCGATGCCCTGTGCTGCAGCGAATTGCGAGGAAGAGAGGCATAAACATACAGCCTCCCATACCCCCGCAAGCAGCAGCACAAGCACCACAACATCAACCGCCTCCACAACAACGACAACCACCACCGCCTCAAAGGCAAACCTATTATCCATCACAACAACTGCAACAACAGCAGCAACCACTACACCAGGCGCCTCAACCGCAACAGCGGCAGGTGACATTAGCACCAGCGCCTACTACATTTGCGACGACTGGGGCGACATTAGCTCCACCGGCGAATGATCCCACGGAGCGCATAGAGCGCCCAAAGAGGAAAAGAGGCAAGAAGAAGAAGAAGAAGAAGGCAACCACCCAAACAGCTCAAGTGGGTGGTACTTCAACTCCTCTTCCTCCACCCAACACCACCAATGAACAGCGACTACCACTGCCACAACTGCGATATACCTTCCCTCCATCAAATCAGAACGAGCAATCTGCACCCCAACCCCGAGATCAACGCCCACCCAAAAGGACAATAACTGTCACACCCCTATCACAGCCCCAGGCACCAACCACCATCGAGGAGGCCCTCGCTCAACTGGTGGGCGTGGTAATCAGGATCTTAGGAGAGGTCCTGACTGCCATGACCACCGGCACCAACCCCCTTTCGGCCATCTTAACGGCCTTAGCCCAACTAACATCTGTCAGCAGGCCATCAACTTAGGATGGTCTACTGGAACCCCGGCGGCATCTTAGGGAAGGTCGCCGACCTGAGAACCCTGGTCCAGCAGCACAATATCCAAATTGTGCTGCTGGGGGAGACTAAATTGCGCCCCTCTGCACAACTAAAACTCCCCAACTTCTTCGTGTACCGCCACGACGAGATCTCCCCAGAAGGAATCGCGTACAGGGGTACTGCGGTCCTTGTGAGGAGGGACGTCATGCACGAAGAAGTTGGCACCAACACACAATTTAAATCCACAAGAACCAAGGGTATAAGGTTGAAGGTAGGCACCAAAGAACTGAGAATCTTTGCCGCCTACCGACCTCCTGGCACCTCGTTTGCCCCCCAGGATATACGTACCATTTTCGACTCCACAACGCCCGCAATTATCGCCGGAGACCTCAACGCAAAACATCCCGCTTGGGGCTCCGGGCTGATCACACCACCCGGAAGAAAACTGTTTGATGACGCCGAGGAGTGGGGGTACGAGGTGCTGGGCCCAGACGAGCCCACTCATATCCCGACAAAACCCGAACATCAGCCCGATGTTCTTGATATTGTGCTGTGTCATCTAGTGCCGTATACAACACGGTTAGAAGTGTTGTATGACCTAGAAACGCAACACCTCCCCGTGCTGATTACGATCGACACCAGTGCGGATGCCGCAGTGCCCAGAAGCCTCAGAATGAGGACTAATTGGCAACGCTTCCGCAGTGCGCTGGAGGACCTCCAACTCTGCGCCTCTATCACCACCTATGAAGATGTGGAGACAGCGGCCCTGCATATTCATAATACCATTAAAGACCAACTACAACTTCATTCCCACCCTGTCTCCACGGGGCGCGGAAAGGAGGAACTCCCACGCAAACTGCAAATTCAACTATCCGAAAAACGGAAACTGAGGAGGCTCTGGGCACGGACACGATGCCCACGGCTTAAAACTAAACTTAACTCTCTAACGGAAGAGCTGTCGGAAGCAATGAGAGCATACAGGGGAGAAGCATGGGAGAGGCGAGTCGACGAAGCCTCGGAGACACCCGCCTCCCTGCATCTCCTCAACCGGCAGCTCTCCAAGACACCACCACCTGTCTGCCCACTGGTGGACAGCACGGGGAGTAGGATTTACGACGCCCAACCTAGAGCGGAGTTGATGGCACAGCACCTAGAGCAACAGTTTATACCCAACAGCATAGCAGAGGGGTACGCAGACCACGTACAAGGCATAGAGGACCGCGTACGGGAATACCTCTCTAACCCGGCGCCGCCATTGCGAGGCGGCGATTTCATATCTCCAGCAGAGGTAAGGCGCACTATTATGCGCCTACCTAGCCGTAAAGCGCCGGGTTACGACGGCATAACCACCACTGCAATAAAGCAGCTGCCTAGAAGGGTAATAGTGGCACTCACCAGGCTGTATAATGGCATCCTGAGGACTGGCCACTTCCCGACCATATGGAAGCAGGGCAGAATCATCGTGCTGCCGAAGCCGGGAAAAGACAGGAGGTTCCCGGCCAGCTACCGCCCCATAACGCTATTGCCGCACATAGCAAAACTCTTCGAGAAAATCACCCTGAACAGGGTACTCCCACATGTTACCCTGCGGGAGGAGCAATTTGGCTTCCGCAGGGGACATTCAACCACGTCTCAGCTGGCCCGCGTGCTGCACTATCTTGCGGCCGAATATAACTTCGGCCGCATCTGTGTGGGGGTCCTTCTCGACATGGAGAAGGCCTTCGACAGGGTGTGGCACGCAGGGCTAGTTTATAAACTCATTCAGCACACCACTTTACCGCCCATGCTTGTGCGGTTAATAGCGTCATTCCTGGAGGGGCGGAGCTTCCATGTCTCCTTGGAAGGGGCTGTTTCGGCGGCACGACCGATTTCTGCGGGAGTGCCACAGGGCAGCTGCCTATCACCGCACCTGTACGCGGTCTACACCAACGACATCCCCACCCTCCAAGGCCATCTGGAGGAATGGGAGGATGACGTTGTCCTAGCCTTGTACGCCGACGACAGTGCGTACTTCGCGTCATCACGTCGGGTGGACATAGCTGCTAAGAAATTGCAGCGGGTACTCGACCTCTTGCCTGAGTGGCTGGACAAATGGAGGCTGGCGGTCAATGTCGGGAAGACCGTCGCCTTCATGACCAGGCTGGCCAGAACACCACCAACTCTGCAACTCCGCGGGCAGGATGTGGGTTGGAGTAGTACCATTACGTACCTAGGATGCCAGATAGATCGCTCGCTGCGCATGACCCCGATGGTCAATCACGTTGTGAGACAGGCCAGAGCGGCGCGAGCGAAACTATACCCTATACTGGCATCCAAACTCCCAACAAGAACGAAAATAGGTATCTACAAAACCTACATCCGCTCGCGGCTGACCTACGCAGCACCAGCCTGGTACGCGTTGACCTCGGCCACTCAGCGCAAGAGGTTGCAGGCCCAGCAAAATCTTGCGCTTCGGGTGATCGTGGGAGCCGGTCGCTACGTCAGGAATGACATCATTTCTCGCGACCTCAAGGTCGAAACCATCCATGATTTTGTGGTCCGTTCTGCGAGACGGTTGTTCGACCGCGCAGACAACGGGCCACACCTTCACCTTCAAAATCTTGCTCCCCTTCACGCCCGCCCACCTGACGGGCGACCACTCCCACGTGAACTTCTACGCTCACTGCCCGGCACAGGGGACGCCGGGGGTGAGTGAGCGTCCCGACACTCGACGTGATGGCGCGAGGTGCGCAATACACCTACATATAAGCTGCCAACGCAGCACCCAAGACCGGGGGGTCGTGTCCTCCTGAGATGCCGCCCATGTAAAGAGGGTCTCCTCGACACATGAAAACCTCCACAAGGAGATGAACCACCACTGTCGCCACCACCACCCCCCCCCCAAGGATCTCCTAAGTGTGTGTTGTTTGTGGATTATACAGTGGTCCCAATCAACCGCCGGTACGACATACTCCGCTAAGCGTCGAGTCCGCATACTCCGCGAGGCGTCGAGGTCACCGGCCCTTAGGCAGATTCTTGGCACTCAAGAGCGTTCCGTGCCTTGCAGTGTCGAGTCGCGTAATTGAGTGCCCTCTAGCACTTCCCCCAACCCTTTCGTTGTGAAAGGGGTAGGCAGTGCGCCAAAGTGTTGCGGTCGTCATCATCTTCGCTCCCATCTTTACCTCGCGGCGCGCATCGATCAGCTGTCAACCTGCTAGGTAAAGTATACAGACGTAGGGCACACGTACACCAACTAAAAAACAAAACAGTAGTAACATGACAGGTAGGGGAAAGGGGGAGCCCCCCCCACCCCCTCGTGTTAGGAAACCTCCGGATCGCCCGGGGGTATTGGATCGGCCACTCTGCATAAAGGACCTTTCGAACCCGGAGAAATCAAGGATCGTCAGCTCCTTCAGCCAGATCCCCAAGAGGAAACCTTCTTCGCCGCAAGAACCCGGAACGAGCGCCGCGCTCACGCCCACCGTGTCTGAGTACACGAGTGGGCAGGAACCGACGCCCCTACCGCAACGGGCCCGTAAAACGGCAAGAAGACATACTCCACCGGAAACCGAGGCATCGCTTTATGAAAAAAGGCAGTGCATCGGTTCACCCTTATCATCTGGACAATCAACACCAGCATCATCATC